TCGCCAATGGCCGAGTTCTGGAATATATCTTTCGGCCTCTTTCGACCTGTTTCAACCAGTTTCGTTGATCAATTAAGCAGAGGTTTCATTAAAACAGTGTTATTTTGAGTTATGTGCAGTTATTTGCATATTGAAAATATTTATGTAAAATTACATGATTAAGCTAGGTTTTTTTCCGACCCAGCATAATCGTGCAATATTGATACTTAAATGGATGATTACAGATTGTATGTAATTTTATATGAAATATATTCTTAAATATTTTCAAGATTAAAAATATTTTACTGAACATGTAATTACACATAGGAAATGTTAGGAATGTATAAATGCTATAAAATAATGTTATAAATAAAATAGATAAATACTTATAAAATAAAATTTTAATAAAGTAAAAATAGTAAATTTAAAATTACATATAATTTTTGCATAAAAATAGTAATTTTACCTATATTTTACATGTATTTTTACATTAATATGTATTTTCACTTTAAAACAAATGGAAAAAAATTACAGTGATAAGCAAGTAACTTTTCCAGTTCTGAACTAGTAATTTCCATGTAAAAGTACATGGATTTTTTTCAGTGTATATGTGTATATGATGGAACAGTTAAATAATTTGATAGACTCATAATATTTACTAATTAAAACCTTTTAATTTTTACATCAGGCTATATTTATTTTTTGACCACACAATACTAGCTATAATTATTTTATTTATTACATTGTGATAAATAATTATAGCTAGTATTTTTATTGGTCAAAAAATAAATATACCCTGATTTATTAATTGACTAGCGATTAAAATTAATTATTATTATAAATTTAAAGGTATAAGACAGGCAGTAAGAGCCAACTCGCGGATGACAGTGCGTTATCCTAACGAAACTAAATTTTTTCGTTAGGATTAAGTATCTGTGCACAAGGCACCAAATTTTACTTGGTCACGGCCAAGATTTAAAATATGAAATAATCTCATATTTGAGATTTAATTTCAATAACCCTTTTACCCCCTTACGGAAATAAGTAAATGCAAGAGAAAAATATAGATCCGAAAGTCGCTGAATCGGGAATCGAACCCGAGACCTTTCGCTTGCCGGGCGACTGCTCTTCCAACTGAGCTATTCAGATCTTTTCGATTCTATACTTTTCTCTGCCTGTCTTATACCTTTAAATTTATATTTATATTACAGAGCCTTGTTAAAACTCTTAGTTTATACACGTGGGCTTAAACGCGTTTGTTTATCAACATTATTACATATAGCAGAGAAAAGTATAGAATCGAAAAGATCTGAATAGCTCAGTTGGAAGAGCAGTCGCCCGGCAAGCGAAAGGTCTCGGGTTCGATTCCCGATTCAGCGACTTTCGGATCTATATTTTTCTCTTGCATTTACTTATTTCCGTAGGGGGGTGAAAGGGTTATTGAAATTAAATCTCAAATATGAGATTATTTCATATTTTAAATCTTGGCCGTGACCAAGTAAAATTTGGTGCCTTGTGCACAGATACTTAATCCTATCGAAAAAATTTAGTTTCGTTAGGATAACGCACTGTCATCCGCGAGTTGGCTCTTACTGCCTGTCTTATACCTTTAAATTTATATTTATATTACAGAGCCTTGTTAAAACTCTTAATTATTATTATTTTTAATTATACTTGTAACTATAATATTAAAGCGACCGTCTTTTTTTCGCTTCGGTTAAGAAGGGAAAATCTGGGACACATGTTTACAGACACATGAATGCGAGTAATCGATTGGTTCGTTGTGAGTTTATTGGAATCCAAGACGTTGGTCAGGAACAAATCCCGACAGATTGTCACTTCCAGACCGCCGTTGCTTCGCTTCCCTCGTCTTTTCGCGATGAAAATCTCTGTTAAAAGAGCCTCATCTCGAGAGACGAACGGTTTTCCGATACTTTCAGCTTTCGTATTGAGAAGTCTTCTTATTGTCCGTGCGATTTGTACCGACGGCAAAATATCCACTACGTCGTTGCGTCATTCTTCTCAGCCATTGTCCGGCTTTGCGAAGCCCGGGAGATTCTAACTAGAATAGAGTGGCAGCTTATATTGACTTCGAGATTAAGCAACCCTTGCACGACTATGCGACAGCTAGATGACATAAACACATTCGTATATTCGAACTCATACACTCCCATACCTGTCGCTAAATTGAATTTAACTCGGAGCTTTTGTCCGGACACTTTAAACGAGGAATGACGAGAGATCGAGAGAAGATATAATTGAAATTGTTAAACAAACGGAACTATATATGATTATTTTATAATCAAGTTAAAAGTTGTACTAATATTACTAAAAAATCATGTTAAATGTTTATTTAATTTATTTAATTAATCAGAAACTTTTATATATATATTTTCAATTTTACTATTGAAATTTATAATACTGTTTTACGTGTCTAAAGTTCACGTGAAACTTACTTCTATGTCAGTATAATCTTATTTCAAGGACTTTTTATATCTTTTCAGTAAATATTAATTTGCTTCTAATTTTCGTCATCTTCCATTTTACAATAATATTGTATTATATTGTGTTGAAACTTATAAGTTCTTGAAAGGTAGAATTTATGTTGTTTATTTTACGAAAATTTATATTAAGCTTTGAAATTTAATTTATTAATTTAACCCCATGAGGGGCGAACAAAATACATTGCTCGTGTTTTTAGTCATTTTCCTGATATAAAAATAAATATAAAATATATATGTATATATAAATAAAATATATAAATAAAATATATAAATATAAAAATACATTATTTGCGAAAAGAAAACAGATTTCTCTCGTCAAATATATCTATAAAAAAATTAACGAGATACGAATTATAATAAATAAATGATTTTTTCACACAAATACTATATAAGTTTGTCATAAATATTGATCACATAAGTATTCGTGACACATTTGATTTCGATCGCGTTAGAATGATTTTGCGCTGCACGTTATCGACGAGGAATTCCAATCGCGTTGCGCTCGTATATTGTGCGTCCGCACATCTATTTATCTCGCCTCCTTTCTCGCCTCGCGAGGATGTTACGACATCGCGATGGTGTACAGTCATGCATTTGATAGTAGCCATCATTCTTTCGCCTTCGTACTCGTAACACATAGCTGGGAACAAAAACACGGAGGGCTTTGTCGACGTGGCGCTGATCTCCTATTGTTGAAAGACCGAATTGCAGAACCACTGTACCGCTTTGCGTTATGCAGATCCTCTCGTTGAGAGAGAGTCCAACCGTGTTACAAATTCATGCTTGCATCCGTGGATAGCAGCTTCCTTCCTGCCTGAATTATCCAACGACGTTGGAAGGCAGGTGGAATTTAATTGCCAAGTGACCGTAATCCCCCAAGAATGCGCGCTCAACGGCCGTTCATCTGCATTTGAATAATAATAATAATCTGATCAAATTATGCAGCGATGTTAGAAGGGTTCGAAATTTTTAGAATTTTTTTATTCAGTTCATTCTAATATTAATTGAACACTTATGTGCGCTTGGCACATAAATTAAATTTTTAATTATTATATTTTGTTTGTAATGATTTGTAGGAATAATAATTTAGTTCATCTGCATTTGAATAATAATAATAATCTGATCAAATTATGCAGCGTGTTAGAAGGGTTCGAAATTTTTAGAATTTTTTTATTCAGTTCATTCTAATATTAATTGAACACTTATGTGCGCTTGGCACAGAAATTAAATTTTTAATTATTATATTTTGTTTGTAATGATTTGTAGGAATAATAATTTAATTCACAGTCGAAAGTATATATAAAAATATAGCATTTTGGAAAAATGATTATCACTTGATTTAAAAAAAAAAATTGCTGATGTATTCTGATTCAGAATTGTTTATGGTGATTTTATTTTCACGTACATAAATGTTACGTTTAAAAATTGCGCAGGAAAAAGGAAATTGGATGTAATTGCATTTTAAATGCGATATGCACTTGCAATTTTTTTTCTTCGTATATCTCTTCCACGTAATGAAGACAAGTACGTTGTTTAGAGTCCGTTATAACAACTTCGATACGAATGTCAAGCGGAGAGAATTGATCCAGTTATCGTGCATACGCGATCGTTGTGTTTGCTAATGTGCGTTCGGTTCTTATCTTTTAACTGAAATCTAAACGACCGAGAGACGCGCGTATCGCCTCATCAAATCACAAGCAGCGCAATGTATATTCAAATCGCAGTGGATTTGAAAGAGGTTGGAAAAAAAGTTCTCCCTTTGCATACTAAACGTCGCATTATCTTCGTTGCAATAATGTCGCCGGAGCGCAATGACTCCGATATATAGCATACGTGCAGCACGCATTGTTCCCCCATGGTAACATAATTATCTTATGTCTTGATGTGTATCGAAAAAATTCTATTTTTTAAATATTTTTCTCCCTTGAAACTTTTTTTTTCATAGCAACAGGAATTTCATTAATGAGAAATTTTAATGAATATTTGAAGTAACAAAATCATTATTTACGAAAAATTTTCATTATTTTAGAGGAAAAATTCATCTCTTGTATGTGTGCACTGAAAAAAATTATTAAATTTATAAATATTTATTTCAATACTGCTTAATAAATATTTATCTATTTTGAAAAGAATTTTCTTATATCAAATAAATATTTTTCATATCAAATCAATATTATTAGTTTCAAATTAATGATTTTTATTAGGCAGTATTGAAATAAATATTGAAATTCAATAAATTTGTTTCGGTGTAATAAATATTAATCAGAGAAACTCTTATAAAATTCTTCCAATAGCATATATTGTCTCACGATTACCACGATTTTCAGGATAAATTCTAAGAGAAAATTTTCTCCACGTATAAATTCATTTTTAATCTATTATTTGCTCCAAAAAATATTCTTATTCGAATCTTTATTTTAATATCTCTAGTGATTGAACAATTCACTGCATGTATGTTTTGTTTCGTCAATTTTGGACGCTGCTAAAATAAAATCGATGGCGCGTTTATTGTTGCAGGGGTATCTGGCAAGGATGTAAGTGGATGGCCGAAGATCCCGTGTCTGAAGGGTCGCGCGTCCAGCAAAGGCGGAAGTGGCGCAGGAGGACCCCACGTGGGTCCACCGCAGTGTCCGCACTCCGTTTTGAGCAGCACTCGCAGCTCCGTCAGCAGCTCGCCTTTGAGTCCGTGCCCGACCCCCATGCCCTTCCTGGTGACTTCGGGGTCTGTGAGGTAAGTTTAATGTACTTTGCTCTTCGATACGTCTCGCTTACATTATTATCATTATGCATTTGATACCGAGACTCGATTTATCAACGCTAAGTCTGAAATTAAATCAAGGAAATAAAAAAAAAAAACTGTATTATAATGGAAAATATATTAATCATTTCTGAATTTTGAGATTTGACATATGACATGACGCGTTTAAAAAAAATATAGCATGTATTTTAAATTTATTTTCTTCCGTTATTAAAAGTTGTTTGTACAGCTTATCTCGGATCAATTATCGAGTATCAAAGAAATATTGAGAGAAGCAATTAGCAATATTAAAAACCCCTTATGTAGTTTCGCGAAACAATACAAAGAGCTCCTTTTTCCACGTAAAAACTACGCCAGCTGTCGTTCGTGTAAAGGCCGCGTTCACTAAAAATAGGTTTAATACATATTTTATCGAGCACTATATCCAGCTATGGGACAAACTTAGCTCGGTACTGCAAGTCGCATAAAGTTTATAGTCGTGGACAGTCAATGTTTTAATTTTTGTCATTGATTTATTTATTATATATTTCTTACTGTCACATGTGTGCGTCAATATCGATCTCCTTTTCATCTTTAAAAACATGTTTGATAAGACAGATGATTTTTCTATAATAATTATATATGATCTCACAGAAAAAAATAACTCGAGTAAAATCAATGTTTTCGCGATAAATATTTTATTCATAATTATACCTTACAGTGCGCATTTGAAGAATATTTATATGTACATTGAATTGTACACGTGCTTTCTAAACAATTAAATACGTATGTGAAAAAATTGCAATTTTTTCTTTTTTTTTAATATATGCAATTTATTTTATTACTGCGTTTTTTGGGGGAGATTAAAGATGATAACAATATTGTTGCGCTTAGTGTGAAAGCAATATCGCACGATGATCGATGAAGGTATGATGACTAAGGCTCTTTTATGCAACCGTTTTTTATCGTGTGTTACATTGTAATAACAATTAACGTTGTAAAAAATGAAAAAAAAAACCTTTCAATACGTTGGCACATCTCACATTGCACTTACATTGCATTGATATATGTAATTCCAGCTTTAGCGACTATCGATATCATTTTTTGCGATGAATTATTAACAACACTTATCGTTTCATTAAAGTTCTTTTTTTATTTTAATACTCATCGATAACATTCAATTTCATTCGTTAAAAGTTTTCTCTTCCTCAAGTTATCAATAACTTCAATGTTACGTTCGATCCTCGACGATCGAACAGATTAATGATTTGTTAACTTTTAATTGTGATTCTTTGTGCCTTGTTACAATAATTGTAATTATTTCCAACTGTGACAATCTTTGTTAATAAGTTATGAAATAGAAAGTGAAACGTTATGAAGTCTTTTAAAAACTTTATAAGACTTTTTTTTATAAAAAGTATTGTTTTTTTGTATTTGTAAATTTTGATTTAAATGCATAAAGTTAAAATCTGAAGAGATAACTTTCGAGCTTTGCACTTATACGAAAAATATGAACTTTTTATGATATATGTATACGAGAAGTTCTCCCCAATTTTGTCCGTTATTTTTTTACACGAGAAAATATTTTATGCTACCCAAGGTTATAAAAGTAATACAACGAGATAAATACACTGCAATTTTTTACACAATGTGTGCGGTCGACTCATAAATTGGGGGGAATAAACATATTACCATATAGATAACTAGAATAAGAATCATGAAAATTTTTTTTTGTGATATATGAAATGTTATGATTCGCACAATTTGGGAGATAAAGTTGTTTTGCTCTATTTAAAGTGCGAGCTTAATTCAAGATAACTCATCCTAGATTTTGATTTATTTTTTATTTTTTTATTTTTATTATTTTATATTATGTTTTTCTCAGTTTTTGCTAAAATAATAGTTGCTGCGATTTTTAAATTACATTTTTTTATTTATACATCTCATTCGCTTTATCGAGAAAGAGAGAAAGGAAGACGGAAGTTTTCCCAGAAGACAAGACCTTCATCTATCAGATATCTTCCCCAGGGAACCGCTATTTCCGAAAAGTTCTCGAATTTCACGCACGTGAACGGAATAGCGAGTTTGTCGGATATAACTTCGACATCCATCGACGTGACCAGTTTGAATGAATAATTCATGACGTCTCCCGAAGCACCCGGCCGCCATTGCAATATCGATAATCATCCACTTTGACCAACTATTTCCCGTCCCGCCAACTTCGACCCGATAATCGTTTTGCGAATTCTCGTGGCACGAAAGCAAGTCGCGCCGGAATCCATCTCAGATAAGCAGGCTTGTCTCATCAATCTCCCACTATTTACTGAAATAAATGTTTTACTTGACATATATAAATTTTACATTATAAATTTATATTTCTATATTTTTAATATTTATTTTATTTAACGAAGTAATATTCAATATAATATAATATAACGTAATATGTAATGTAATTAATATAAAAAATGGATCTTTCTGTATATTAATTTTAACAATGTATATTATAGTAATAGGATATCACACACATTTTTTATTCAGTTTTAATTAAATTGATAAAATTTTAAAATTACTTCAATTAGCGCGTTAAATATTAAAAAGATGTAAGTATCTTTGCACAAAGAAGAACGGATTGATCGAATTGATTCACTCTAATCAGAAATGTACATACATACTTTTCCCTAAATAGACGGAGCATTTATTATTATTAAATATTAAAAAGATGTAAGTATCTTTGCACAAAGAAGAATAGATTGATCGAATTGATTCACTTTAATAAGAAATGTACATACATACTTTTCCCTAAATAGATGGAGCATTTATGATTTATTTGCTTAATCGCGAGACCTTTCAACGTATCTCGCGTTTCAATCGCGACATTTAGGGACATTCCGCGAAGAAATTGCGTCGCGATTATGTCTCTTTGCTCGCGTTTGCGGCCTTTAAATAGTGTTGCGACTTTTAGTAGAGCGTGGGACAGGAACGAGACGTTCCTCGTGTCAGCGAAGGGCACAGATGCCTCGCGTGTAGAGGCAAATTGAATGCGTAGGCGTGTCTATAACCCGTATCGAAGTTATCGATTAGCTTCTTGCTCTGCTCTCAACACTCCAGGAGGCTTTTCGTCTCTTGACAAATGTTAACGGCACGAAAAATGGGAGAAGCAGAAAGAGAACGATACGAGAGGGAAAGCCGTGCATCAGTTATAAGCCGTAACATATGGAATTTTTCAAACGTCAGCCTTGCAAATCTTTCCGAATCTCTCATCTATTCGACGAGCCGCGTACACATTTCTATATTCCTTTATATCGATGAAATATGTAATTTTTTTCTACAACGGCGAAAAGAATTGTTTTAATGTCAAAGAGAAAAAAACACGATTTTTATAAATCAATACAAAATATTTGTAACTTGACTTTTCAGCAGATTGAAAAACGTAATTGAAATTGTATTTAATAAAAGAGGTGTTTTTTTCGCAGTGTTATTCGATGCAAATACGAGAGAGATTAACGCCTTGCGTGCTAGCATTAATTGTTTCTCTGTAACGATCCAGTAATACCTTGTATGACAAAGTGTAAAGTTTTTAAAACTTGTTAGAAAAAACCAACAACAACAGATTCATTGCGCATACTTGAGTTTTTCCCTATGTATTTAAAAGCACGTTTGACAGCAGTTTTAATGTTTAATGTTAATTCTTTTATTCTAAAATTTCTCAAAATTTACTCCGTATTGAAATTTTCTTTCAAAACGCTATTCAGAATAAGAATGAATCAAGTGCATTCTCAAGCCTTAAAATTATTAAGAATTAAATTTTTTTGACAAACTATTACACTATTTTATATTTTATCCAAAAATAGCAGGAATTTTTATTTAATTTTTTGCGACAACTCTAACAACTTCGAAGACAATATAGAGAATATTAAAGAAATTAGTTAGAACTTCAAAGGTTTCTTTCATCTCCGGTAATATCTACTATTACGTCCGTGCAAAGTGTCAAGTTTATTAGGGTTTACGGGTTTGCCGAACTTCCCTTGTTAGTCCACTTTCGGTCTGTACACTGCGCGGACAAATGATTAATTCACGTTCCTTCCGAAGAAATAAGAACAAAGCCGACGTTGACTCATACTTGAAGAGGGAGAGACAGAAAAAGAAAGGGAGAGAAAGAACTTAAGAATATCGAGACAAAAGCGACGCCGTATTCACGTATCGTGGACAGTTTAATTGGCAATTAACCAATGTCCATGTTCCAGTAGCGGCATGGTGCAAAGCGTCGGAGCCAATTTATCGCCGGACCAAACATTCGGATCGATCCGGTCGCTCTCGGTGACGAGGGAAGTCGCCAGTTTCCCTCTATCTCGAACACCCACGCCGCCTCCGCAGCATAGGTAAGTGAAGTCCGTTTATTTACTTGGCTTGCCTGCGTCAAATAAACATCAATAGCGATCGAGATACTTTGCGAAGCTAATCAAACATCTCTTCGAGGTAAACAGAAGTTTACCTCCGGCTCCTGTTCAAATTACAATACTCGATATGTACATAAAGTCAATTATTTCAAATTTTATTTAATCGACAAATTTGAATAATTGCATTTATTATTTATAAAATGCATGAATTTTTCATCCTTGAACTTTCAGTCCGTAAGATCGCTTTAAGGAATATCATCCACGATTTATTAAAAAAAAATTCCACAAATAATTCGGAATAAAACAAAGCAAATTAATAAATGCATATTTTGTAATAAATTAAGAGAAACTCCAGAAAATAAATAAATAAGGATCCTTCATAGATAATATCTGTGCTTTTCAAAAATTCTCTAAGTAATTCGAAATATATAAAGTGAATTGAATGCATATTTTATAATAAATGGAGAGTATTTCCAGAAAACAAAATAAGGATCCTTTATAGTTAGATGACACATAGAAATTCGTCTTACGGACTGACGGTTTAACGCGGCGAAGCGCGCATATTGACGAAGGCGAACGGCCTTTCGCGGCCGCTGTTGCAGAACGTCGGCATCGCTGGCGGCGAACCCCGAGGAGCTGGTGGGCGTTGATAGCCCTCTGCGGGAAGCCTCTCCCAGGCCGGAGGTGCGCGTGGTCGCGCCATCGCATCGGCCGCCACCGACGTCCGTCCTGGCGGCGGCGAACGGGGTTCACCATCAGCACCACCACGCCGTCTCCTCGGCGAGCCGCAAATCCGTCAGCATACTGTTGCCCGATCAGACCAGCGGATGACCCCAGTTGCTGCAGCAGCAGCAGCAGCAACAGCAGCAGCAACCCGGCTTTGTACACCGTTGCGATGAGGCGCCGCTCTCGATCTAGAATCATAGTCGCCCGTCCGCGCTCAGGACGTCTCCGGCTAAGACAGACGATGACAGGCGAATATGCGCGATCGTCCGGGTAACTGAGAATTAATTAATCTCGCGTCTATTCTAGTGCTAGTGACGAGTTCGCATGGCGATCTCGGGCGCGCAATCTCCGCATGAGCAAGGGCAATCAGCCGTGAACTCGGAACTTCGTTAGAGAACGAGTGATTGATGACCGGTTAATGTCGTATAACATCAACCATGGTTTGATCAAGATTCGCAGTTAGACCCGCGCGTTATTGTAATAGATGAGAGAGTTCAACTCAATGGTAGACGTGAAATATCCGTATCATTCTTTCTCTTATCGCTCGAATAACGATGACGTTTATTCGGGAACCGACATAATCGGATTTTATTACGAATCATTGTTGCTCTATGCGGAGATGCGTTGCTCAACCTTGATCTCGACTAGAAACCGTGCTTAGTGTCTCCACATTTGAATGCTTGGTGACAAGTCTTATCATTACCAAACCGTAAGATAATATGTCACGTATTATCGTGAATTGTATGTGTGTGCATGTGTGTATGTGTATACAGTGGAAATTTCTCTCTGTATTTTGTACATAGTCGGGAGAGAAAAGGGAAACGACGAGACGTTGGAAAAATTTTACATTTCCGAATTACGACGAACCCGTTCGCGCTTCAATTTACGCTCGCTGTATTATTAGAGCGTTTTTACGCATTAATAATGATCTAGAGTCATTCAACGTGCAGTACTGATCAAAAGGTGCTATTTTAACATGCACACGTTGATTTGCATATGAGTCGATAATTTTAGGAATCATATAGGAATTAAAAATTAAAAATTAATGTGCAACCGCAGTATAAATGTATTGCAGAATATGATGTAATGTGTATAGAAAATTATCAGACTCGTAGATAAAGAATAACATGCAGGACTACAGGCTTAGGAGAATTTTCACTTTGCTTGATAAGTAGAACAGATATATTTACGTTGGGAGAACGTATAACAAAATTGTGAAAACCACTAAAGTTGGTGTCAGTTTTCTATTTAGTTGAAATCGATTTTTATTTTATATATGAAATTTGTATATATTTTGCCAATAAAGATAATCGAAATTCTTCTTGACAACTTGCGCACTCGAGTTCTATTATATTTTATCGCTTCGTAAATAAAATTCTGATAATATCTTTAGGGGTTTTATCATCAATGTGCGTTCTCTCTCTCTTTGTTTTCTTTTTGCGATCGCGATAAAAAGAAGGAAGTTTCCGCGAATCGAATTTTTCACAACATCGTTAGTTCTTTCGATGCCATGTAAAAGAAAAGAATAATCTACGCATAAACTCTTTTCTTGCAATATAAAATTAAAATATGTATCGAAGAAATTATTCAAAATTAAAAGTGGCTTATTCCGTTAAGAGTTTAATTCGGTGGAACATGTGCTTGCAAATTAATACGAACATAATTTACCTTTCTGCGCATCAAGGATTAATCTTACACCGGTACATGAAAATTCATAGCATCCTTTTGCCGCGCATCGAAAGGGTTAACGTCTGGCAGAGAAAGACACCCAGCACGGTTTCGCACTAATTAAGTGCGTTAATTAAGTCTCAGTTATTCTCGACTCGCGCCGGACGACACACCCTTCCTACCTACACCGCCAAGAGGAGCAGCAAGCTCTCGCGATCACAAAGATGCATCCAGTAGAATACTCTACATGTCGCAGCGGCGCGCGTTTCTGGCCAAAAGTAGTCCTTAAGATATTCTTGCGCGCGCGATTGTATTTAACACGTCCCTCTAAGGCGAGGAAACACGATCCAACGAAGCGAGAGGTCGAGATCACGCCGAATCTTTTCCCTCTTGCAAACTGACCCTCTTAATTTTCTAAACAAAGTCTCCTGAATTATTATTAGTTTCATCGTCAACAATAATCTAGAGTCACTGAAGTTTATTTCTAGACACTCTTGATTTACCACAATTTTTGATTTGGAAATAAAATAGGCCTCCGAATATCGAGCGCGAGAGTTACTAGACTTCAGGCTGACTATTCTTATTGTATTTCCCTGGTTGGGCATTCTAAGTATTCGCGGCATCTTAAACATTTCGCTGACTTCGATGTTCCAAGAACGGTCCTTGATGCTCGAGGGAGGAAGGGAAATCTCTCTCTTTCTCTCTCTTTTGCGGCCCTGAAATCTCCGATGTCGGTCACGAGATGAATCGATATCGCGAGAGCGGCGGAGATTTTTGTTTTTGATTCAGGTAGGTGGGTAACTAAATAGACAAGTCATACGAATCGTTGGCAGACGTTCAAGCTGGTCTATCAGCAAGACCGATGTTCGGTTCAATTTGCCCAGGATCGAGGTGACACTCTTATTTTTAGTTCGAAATTATCTCTGGCCCGTTCAGCTGATTCAACGAAAGACACTTAATCGGTGCTCCTTCTAATTAAGATAGAACGACAAATTCCGATATGATTCTGTAGATTTTTTTACATTCGCGATTTTTTTTTGTACATTTATCCAATCTTCTTTTCAATTTATTTAACTTTAAAATATACGATATAGACACTCGCGGGATTGTTGAACAAATTATTTTATTATTTATGATCGTTGAATATATGTTTTTGAAAAAAGTCATGTGTATTCAATTATATTGAATACTGACAGAATTTTTATCAGATTGAAATGTCACTCGCGGATTTACATATACGCTTTGAAATCTGCAATCAAATAACTCGTGTAACTTCTGAAATGAAGACAGTTAATATTTTCGTGTAAAAATCGGGCATCTTCGCGAACGTTTACTCAAAGACTAGGATCAAATTGAATTAGGATAAAACGAGGACTGGCAGAACAACTATCATTTGTGACAATCTATCATAGAGATATTCTCGTGTTGCGCTAAATCACGAAGAAGAGAAAAATTACAGGGAACCAATAGCAAGATTGAAATTTAATTCGATTGAAACGAGTTTAATAAGAAATCGGATTTCGAATAACTGAGAATAATAAGGTTGAAATGCAAGAAAGCGGAAATTTCAAATATCTAACATTTCACAGCAGCGATCTCTGCACATATCGCAGAACGTTATACGATAATTTTCAAGTGAATTTTGTTACAAAATAATTGTTTTTTTTATACAAGTTTTTATATATTTTTATTTTTAAATTTATAAGGATTATGTTAATTTTATGTTATTTTACAATAACATGTATTATTTTATTTGTGTTATAATTTTACAATAGATATGAGAAATTAATAGTTTATGAAATAGTTAAGCTTTGTTATTTTTATATAAGACAACTCACACAAAAATCAAGCATTTATACAAAATCATAATATATCATATATTAGATGTAAGAATTAATAATGTGTTTAAAATTAGAAATTTAGTAATATATATATATATATATATATAGTCTTAAAAATGTTCAGTTTGTTGTAAGCTATATGTAAAAGATCTGAATTTAATCCGATTGTTAGATAACGTTTCCGTAGAGAGATTAAAGTCGTTACATTCTAATTAAACGAGAAGAGAACAATTCTACTCTACGTATGCATAACGAGATCTGTTTTTATATAAAACAAGCTTTTGTTAAATTCCATTTTCATTAACGTTCGCGAATATGTACAGAGCTCGCTGTTCCATATCGAGAGAATTTATATGTCAAAATCAATAAATCGCGAAACATTTCATTACATCGAGAAGTATATATATTTCTATTTGAAGATCGCAAACTCGGTTAAAATATATGATATATGTACGTATTTCGAATTTCAAATATTTTATATTGATTAATCCTCTAATTCTCACGATCGGATCAAACATGACAGAAACGCTTCGTAAGAGATGTTATTAATATTCAAAAACAAATCGAACCTTTATCGTCTCGATAATCAAGTGAAACTTTTATCATTGTTGTAACAAGTAACACGATTCTTAACACAACACTGACCCACTGATAATCGGATTAAGTGCTTTTAATGGAATTGATCGATACTGAACGCAGAACCTTTGTGACGCTAATTAACACATATCGCTTCAAAAATTTGCGAAAATTAGAAACAAACGTGATCTCGCTTTAAACTTATGGTAAATCTAGGAAAGTGAATTTAAGATTGTGTTCAAAGATAGAAAGAATTATTTCATAATTATTATATATATATATATATATATATATATATATATATATATAGTATTGTGACATATAAACGCGCAGTTATATAACCGAAAGATTAATTCATTAATTTATAATATATTATTTTAACAACTTTAGAAATGTCACTTGTGTAATTAAGAAAAAACATCGAATTAGGGTAAAATAAATGATAAAAATGAAAAAAAACCGCTAAGTTTAAAGACATAAATCAAGCGATACGTGTTAAAAAGTGTTCCAATGGGACTCTACAGAGACTGGTGCTAGCTGGAATAACAAGAGAATTTCCTTTAATGAATAAACTCTTATCGTAGAAGAAGCGAGTGGGTACTAATCGCGTAGTATATTTAAATAAAGGTAAGGCTAGTCCTTAAGAAAACACACGCGTTCTGCTCATAATTCTCTGCTTGCTCGACGATTCTCGGTCATCCCGTGTATGAAATCCTCGAATAGGCAACCAAGATTTTTAAGTAAGACTCTAGTCCTGTAAATACATAAATAGAGACGAAGGTATATCGAATGGAGGAGCGTGTGATGAGTTTGCGGAATGCATGTCACGTTTTATGACTGTATATTGGACAGGAAAGGATATATCGTTAACGATCTTTGTAAAGCTGTATCGGGAACCAAAAGGACGTTGTTAACTCTTTGAGTGGAGATATTTCGTTACGAGGAAAAAAATATATATTCCTTCCTCGAAAGAGCATTTTGTTACAATCGTAATCATTATTTCATATAAAAGGAATGAAATCAGAGAGGAATCAGGTCGAGAAAAATAGAGAGAAGAGAAATTCCAAGAATTTATTCCAGAAGAATATTCTACGTAATATTCATTATTTATTATTATCATTATTTTTATAAAAATGCAAGCTCGATTCAAAGAGTTAACGAAATGGATGTTCTGCGCTTTTATATACGCGCCGTTCATCTTTAACCGAATCAAAGCCGTGGATTGCGATATATACGTATACATTATATATCGCTCCTCTGGGAAAACGTGATACTTATACCAACACCGGAGGGGGCTAAATTATAAGCGCTCTTGTTCCTTAAACGTATATAGAGGCGAAGATTAATACCGCGGAATTAATGGTCGAGAAACCGCAGCCGTATATCGATCATGATGTCGGCGGGATGAACTTGTGAACTTTTCGCCCAGTCACGGCTTCGATTTTGCGCGCGGAGCTTTGGAAAGTAAACGGTGCATAATCCGGCGAAGAGCCGTCTAGAACCTCGTGCTCTCTCTCTCTCTCTCTCTCTCTCTCTCGTATTAACGATGTGTGCTAATTATTCCGCGGGTTCCGATCGAGGATCTCGAGTGATTCCCGTTGATCGAGAAGCCCGAATATGTTTGCGGAAACATTTTGCCCGGATATGAGAAAACTCGCTCGGGTTTCTCGGAGGATCCGAGATAATATATCCGACAATATATTTACATTAATTGTAAACGGTCTAGTAAAACGCATACTCTCGTGTATGTAGCTCACTCAATAGCATTTGTTCGTGCTGTCGTAGGGTATAATGATTGGACGGAGGAGAAGAGAAATATCAGCAAATGGATTGTACATATACGCAGGCGAGATTAGAAGCCACGATTTTTTGCTGTTTATCTTGCGGATGGCGTAAGTCACGTTTTTTACAAAAGAAAAAAAAAGAAAAAAATTCTTATCACTCGTATTATTCCCTCGTGGCGCATCAAGCAGTTTCGCATTTTTAATTCACAATTAAATCGCGAACAGTCGTACATTGAAAATGCAAAGTTATATACTTTAACTGCAACGAATCATTACATCGATGATTTCCAGAGCGTGATTTATGCCACTGTTATGTAATAAGCGACCCAAAAACCACGTCTGTGCTAGATAAAGGAAGCGTGTGCCAAAAAGTAGGACAAATCTTTCTTGCAAAACGAGACAGTTTTTTTTTTTTCGAGGGGGAAAGAAAAGATATACTTCATCTCGTCCTACTGTTCCATTTTTGGCAGAAAATAAATAACATCTGGTAATATAACAATGAAATCACGATTTCACTGTTATACGTATATTACTAGGGATGCTCTATTTATTTTAGAATCTCTGCGACACTTAATATCTTCGAGTTGGAATTGTGGGACCAGATGGATTAAATATCTGAAAGCTTATGAGGGAAAGTTTATGTGACAAGTTTACGACATCGTATTCTCGCGATTAAGGGATTTCGATGCAGCAATGGGGATTATAACTTTCCTGAAAACTTGACGAAAATAATCTTAAAATACATTTTTATAATTTCAATTTCTAAAAATTAAAATCGAGAAAATTAAATATAAATTAATTTTCTCAAAAAAAAAAAAAAAAAAAAAAAATTATTTGGTTCAGAGTCTTTGATTAATTTTCGCGATAGAGGCCAGACCGAATCTTTGACCATGCTCAAGTTTCAATACTCGATTCCGTTCTCGCTCTGTTCTCCTCCAGTCGGTCAACTTATTTTATTCTCGCGAACGGGGATAATAATTCGAGCGAGATGTGCGATACGGATGAATTGCTTCAATGCGAGGATGAGACTCAGAATCGAAAATTCAAGGCGACTCTCGTCGCTCCTCGCTGGTGCATTCTTTCCCGGGAATGCATTCTCGCGTCTGCACTCGATGATGGCAGGATTTCGAATTATCCTTTAGGATAATTTTTTTTTCTCGTTTTTTTATAGACAAATTGTGATAGAACGCGTAGCCACGTATAAGCCATAAGATTGATTAAAAAATGACTATAATATAATTACGATTTTAATTCTCACTTATATATATATATATATATATATATATATATATATATACGAAGCCGATAGGCGGGCAAGTTTGCAGCTTGGCGATTTTATAAGAGTCTCGCGTACGTGATCTTTTTCTCTGTGATTTGAAACGATCACGATGACGTTCTCGTCGTCTTAATTAAAAACTGAATTTTATCGAAAGTAATAAAATCCTTTTCATCATATAGTCAAAGTCAGATCAAATCAGTCCTGATTTTCGATCAGCGATCCCCGGGAAATAGAACGATTCCGTTTACAGAGACGAGGATTGCTACTGCATTTTAGCCTAATTGCGTGATAACAAGCTGGCAAACAGATCAACCGCACTCGTACGACCTGCCCGCCTACAGGCTTCGCGTGAATTAGACATAAGTGTGCGATTTGTAGACGTGTCAAGTGTCGAGTCTCCTCTCGACGGGACTCGAGCGACTCGCGTTCACGATACATTTACGATTTACATACACATATACGTACACATAGCTAAGCAAACTTTACGATATTATACATCAAGATGAGTTTTATATAGCTGTTGATTATAAAGAGGCTGATTAAGTTTAGATATCGTTCCAATATACTCGATACATTTGATATAACGTAGTTTAAAGGTACTCGCGCGTATAATAGACACGCGTTATTATTATTATTATTATTATTATTATTATTACATATTATCATCCCCCTGTCATTACTATTATACTTTAAGATATAAATATATTCGACGATCTTGTCCAGTCTCTTAGGCGCGTTCGACGCGATTCTGACGCCAGATTCTGACGATTAGAGGATATAAGCGAAGTGTTTTTAGAGACTAGAATTATTCCTCAACTATGATTATATATGAAATTCAGAAAATATCGAATATTAATTCAAATTTGTTCGCTCATGTCAATATTGAAATTAATTTAGAGAATGGAAAGGAACATCAACTTTACATCTCACTGCTTATCTTGATAATGAGAAATGAAGAAAGAAAAATGGCCACGCGTATATAAAGATATCAGACGAGAAGTTAAAAAGAGAAGTAGTATAAATATATATATATATATATATATATATATATATATATATATATACATATTAATATATATTCTTTGTGATACTTAAAATTATATCTAGGATTAAATTTAGCCTCATTATATCGTAATAGTTGGGGGATCGACTTTTCGTCCGTCGACAGAGAAATATGCGTCGCCTTTAAATATAATATTGATTTTACACCGGAATTTCCAGTGTGTGCCGATTGACGTCGTTTTTGGAATGAATAATTCAGCGGTCAGGAGGTTTGAAATTTCGCCGTAACAGAATGCGGTGAAACCAACTTTAATCTATGCCGCGCATAAGCGCCGATCTATGGCAGTCTCGTATTGGACGTAAGGAAAGTTCGATTTCGCAAAATCGATCGGCGATATATATTTGTTGTAACGGGATATTCCGCATTGCATTCGCCTCGCAGCCGGCGCGCGGTTTTATATATGTTTGCGTTTTGCAGCGAGCAATAAAGGAAAGCAGTGAATGTTATGGCCTATGTATGTGTAGAGAGACATAAAGAATGAAAATACCAGACACAAACTCCCGTTACAGCGCGTTATGAGACCCAGGACCGGGTCAGCCTCTATCGAGGAAGCTCATTTTTCTCTTATCTTAAAAAAAAAAAAAATTATACAATTATTAAATAAACTCGTTTCCTGGCAATTTTCTCTGTCGCGGACGAAAATGCTCTGGAAAAATGGAATGTGACACAACTGATGGCGTCGCACTCGCGAGACGAACGCGAACGAAGAGGATGTGCATGTGTGAATTTCCCCGCAGGCATTTTAAATAACATTTTACGCGAGATCCAATTAGCATAGTGAGATCGTTAAGGCTAAACATTTATGTCATCGTTATCGCTATACGATTACTATCATCACTCTATCCGTCGTTATTATTGCCCCATCATCGTCCGCTCGATGAGGAGGTAGTTGCGCTCTATACTCGATATTCTGTGTCGATACCTACACCTAATTGTATATTAACAATGATCACACTGTGTAAGGAGTTGAAGTTCCAAGTCTAATAAAATCGCTCTTCATAACCAGGTCCTTTTATCCGACGACACGCCACTTCCCGATTACCTTGCGAAAACAAAAAAAATTACATATTTTAAATGCTATATATATGCTTAACATTCTTAAATAAAAATGAGCAACGTTTTCCAATTAATTTAATTGAATTTTAAATTAATTTTTTATTTATTTTTATTTTTAATTTAATTTAATTTTAATTGTATATGGATTTTATTAATGGATCGAGTTTCTCTTAATACCGAATTTCATAATAGAAAAGTGGAATATTTTATTTCTTATATAAAAAAAGAAAATAAGATTTAAAGAGAATTTATTAGGAGATTGCATTACATTAGAAAAAGTAAAAGAGATCTTTTATAGCGAGAGAAAATATAAAAGAATACGAATACTATTTTAAAATGTAATATCTAATATCTCGACTGAATCTGAAACGAGATTTCACGGAATATATCATAGTATGTCAATCCATTTTCCATTTTATATGCGCACTTTTCATCAGAATAAGATATGCAAACCGGATTTACTAATCATTCGAAATTCATAGAGTGAAAGCTAATCTATATTCGAGCATCTCTAACTTAGGTTTATCGGAGATAAACGATTGACTAGCAGCAGAAAATTGTCAAAAATGAAAAAATTCTCTCTCTCGCAAAAACTTTGCGAATAGAGCCCTCATTAGCCTAATATAATATTGTTTTATCTTCGGAGACACATATATACTATTTATTTATTTATTATATTATTTTATATATTATATTATTTTATTTTATAAATATGCATGTTCGGTCCGCTTTCTGTACTTTTAATTAGATAATAGGCAGTTTTTCGCTCGAATCGCGTGAATAATTTCGTCTGATTTTCATTTTCAAACTTGGAATGAAATTGAGGATAAGAATCAACTACTAGGTACCTAATATTTTTTATTGTCCTTTTATAACGTACAATCAACAACGTGTTTTTTTCTTTTTTTTTCTTTGTAACTTATGTACCAGCAATTAATTTTTAAAAGGACACATTAAACGTCTCGTGGAGATTAATATATAAATAATCGAATTTATACAGTGAGAATACAATTAGATAGTTATATATGTATTAACGAACTTACGAATAACAGAATATCGCGCTGATATCGACATTTGATTATAGATTAATATTATAATATAGTTATATGCGAGAGAGAGAGAGTGGTTGTAACAGTGAAGATTTTATAGAATAAATATTATAACATTGTGAGTAGGAGAAGTAAAAGCGTTATGGATTCACGAAGAGAGTAGATAAAATCGAATAAATATATACATATGTATATTATACATATCAACATTAGGTACACATTTTTTGTTAATATTTTTCATCTATGTTATAAATATGCATCACAGATATGTCGTTGTTCGTGGAACGAAACATATATGATGACGATAAGAATCGATGAAAAAATATATACCCGTTTGTTCCGAAAATGATGTACACAATTTAAAAAAAACGTGTTTTGAGAGTTTTTTAAATTATTTATAATTATTTCACTTTCAATAATTTAAATATTCAGCGCAAGAATGGCACACTCGATTAAAAAGAAAGAAAACAATCCAGTATAATTCTTTCAGAATTTTAAAATGTTGGGTAAATCTTATAATTCTCTTTTCTCCACAAAAAATAAATTTATTATTTATTTTTAATTAATTAAATAAATCCATTATTTATTTTTTGTATTGAATTCTTTAATTTTAAAAATTCGTAAAACGGAAGGATTATCTGAAGGTCGCATTCTGCTATATATATGTATGTGCTCAACCTTTTTGGAACAGCCTGTATATTTTATTGCCAACACCTAAGAGTAATTAACTTAAAAAATGTAAAATTGATATCTTAGCACATTTTGCGAATGAAGAGTGTTTCTGGTTGATCTCAGACTGCAAAGAAAATATGATAAGAAAAAATGACAAGTACAATGAAAAGAAATTCTCATTTGTTTGACACTAACGACGTGCCATAATGAAATACATTTTTTGAGGGGGTACATAGAAATAGAAAAATCACGCGTATAACAATGTCAGTGATCTGTTATATTACATATCGAGACTCTAGGCTCTGAAATTCCTTGCGTCGCGATGAATATGAGCGACGAATGCAAATCGTATCCATTTGCTAGCAACAATCTTAACGAAGGTGTATCATACAATTATACAACTTTGCTATTTCTCTCTGTCTACGATAATAGAATATTAATAATAATAACGAACGAATAGAATATAACGCGGACGCTCAGGGCTGGACAGTATTTCAAATATATGTTGTTTAACATTATCTTCGATAAAAATAAAATTATGAATAAAATGCAATATATATATTAATATTAATTTAATTTGAGGATTTCATATTCTGAATAAAATCTTCGCGTTTATAATATTTTATAGTACGTAGGATATAGGATTCATAAAAATTTATCGAGTTAAAACCCGAAAAAAATTTCTTTTTTGTAAAATATTATAATCTTTTGCCCAACCCTGTGGACAAAATATCACGATTATCGGTCGCGTACTTGTTTTGCCAGTTTTCGCTATAGTTTTGTATTTTTGTATTTGTTATTAATAAGATATACGGTTATCTTCTGTTTTTGCTTTTAAAATGCTCACGATTTATATAATTCGCTTAAATATGCATGAATGCATATAAATATTACATATTTGTGTGAAAATATTGGTTATTTTGTGTTGTGAAAATTTTCCATCATTTTTTGTGACAAAAATATACGAATTATAAATGGTTATTTATGAGAATGAAGAGATTCGTGAATTTTTTTTCTGAATTGAATTTCGTGATAGATCGGTCGTTCCCATTTGAACTGGTTATCATAGCGCATTGGTATATCATAATATTATAGTGCAATACATTCTACGTAATCGAGAATCTTCGATTATCTTGTTTCAACAGTATTTAATAGAAAACTCAAATCGCATTTTTTGCACACAATAATGAGATACAACACATAACACTAATTATAATTATAATATAATTATATATATAAATTAATTTATAATTTATAATTATATATAATTATAATATAACATTTATAAATATCTTGCGACATGGCATTGCACAAGCATCTTGATTGATCGATATAAGGAGAAGTTGAGAAAGGATTAAGAACAATTATTTGTTGACTATTTTTTTCGTTCCGCGCCATAGTTTTTTTTTTTTCAAAATATTTCGAAGCATTTATAAGAAGAATATTATTTATCAGACAATGATCTCTATTCAAACGTTTCATTACAATTTCCAATCCGATCTCCGTCATTCGAATCATGATTGCGAATATTCTCAAAACTTACATATATATATATATATATATATAATATATGATAGTCCCCGGTCTATCTTACGGATAACAATTGAACGAAAACACGCTAGTTCTTCGACTATATTATATATATTTTTATATGGAATGTGTGCTACCAAACTTTCTAAAGAGTGTAATTAATACGTATATAGATTCTTCGTATCACCGCGTATGTCTATTACACGTCGGCGATTACGCGAGGCTAAATGTACAATTTCTCTCTCGAAACTGCTCTCGATACAACACGCAAACCGCGGATAGGTCCGTTAGCGAATTTCTTGTTTTCTAAATTCTCAATATAAATCCCTGAAAATTTACGAGACAATCGTCGTCATTCATTTAGGGTACAACAGAAAAAGAATTCTTCATCATTTAATCGGCAAATACGTGAACGTGCTGTACGTTCTTGTCCCCTAAAATTAAATCTTTACGAAATGTGATCAATTGCATCATAATTTCGATTAACTCCCTCCGATTATTCCATTTCCTTATCGCAGTTGTTATATATCTGGAATTTGCTGACGTGTTTTTATTTTAAGTGACGATTTTATTTCGATACCGCGGATTATAAGATATATTTATTATTTATAATTTGTGCTAATCAAAGCTTATGCAACTGATCACAAAAGATATGTTTGTGAAAAATGTGCATGGTTTTCTCGTTCGAGCGCAGTTTGCAAATTCCTGCACACTTTGTACTTGGGTCACCGCGCGAAATAAACGGTGAAACTTTGACAGTCATTTTAATTTTCTTATGAATCTCTCGGGAATCACCGCATCATTGTCGCGCGTACGATGGTTTTCTCGCAATGCGAGAAGTTTTATAATTTTTGGCTAAAATTACTATCAGTAATTCATAAAACGCAAAAAGACCCAGGCAATTTTTCAGCAAAACAAATTTAATTTTGAGCCAATTAAATATTGTAAAAAGTAGTACCAAATTAAATATGAAATAAAATTGTGCCACTTAGTTTTGTGCAAGTCATCTGCACTGTCAAATATTCTCATTCGATAAAAAGAATCAAATGTTTTTAATCAAGGATTTTATCAGAAAAATTTGAATATTGGGGCAGATTTGTAAGTAATTTAAATATCACGTAGAACAACGGATACAATAATAGGAATTTTATAATGTGTTTTGCGTTATTCAAGAAAAAAGCTTTTATGTACGGCATTATGCCGTACACAATATTTAAATTAAATAGACCAAATCTGCTCCTGTTTTTTTACATCCCCCGTTTATCTTCTATTTCAAATCAAATTTATTTTGGGCGCGTCTCTGCTGCGCGACTTATGAGCAAAATTATTTTGTTTGCAAATAAATAGAAAACAGGTGAATCTACGGGGCGGTTTGTGCGACGTAAATTAATTGCGATCGCCGACTCGAAAATCGAGCCGATGTGTGTCCGATCGCATCGTGAGCCCAGGAGATCTTTGTAGCATATTTTTCAACTCGTGTCACGATCATTTAATCGTAATTCTCGGATTCCTGCTGCACCAATTTGAACCGACGCGGACTCTTCACGTACATGGAACCGTGGGAACCTTCCAGGGAAAGACGACCCTTTCGTTGAAGGTACGTGGTGATGTAGCGAGCAACTAGCTGCTGGGGTCGCATCTGCCATTCTTCCAACACTTCCTTGGGTGCTAGAACCTTTTCAAATCATGGGAGCAATCGATTAGATTAGCAGCTGTATTGTGGAAGTTTAAGAGATTTTATATCGTAACTGCGAGATCTTTTTTTTTTTAATCATTTCATGTTCAATAAGTGATACCCTATAATACACGTCGCAAAAATTTGGGCAAGTTTCGCAAAAGATAAAATACAGAGAGGTAATGATCTGTTCAACAAAAAGTTAACCGGAACGAGATTAGTTTCTTACAGTTTTTTGGATGCTGAATATGAATTTGGTTATCATATTATTCCACCATATCACGATTTTGAGTTTTATTGCAATCAGAATAAAATATATTATTAGGACTTTCAATCCTCAAAAGGAATTTTTAATGTCAGTTATGGTCAATAAGATATCCATAGTTAAATGAGATGTATTGCGGAAGTTAGCTGTGACTTAGGTCATTGACGATTTATAATAAATTTTAATAATGTTTATTCAATCTTAAAGGTTTTTTAGGTCACTGAATACGAATCGAGCGTTAAAATGGTCAAACTCAAAATGACGAACTCAATATGGTGAATTTATATAAAAAAAGCATTTTTTGACATTTTAAATTTGACAATTTTGACATCGAATTCGTATTCAATGACCTAAAAAAATCTTGAAAGCTATTTAGTAAATCCTCAATAACCTAATTGTGAATCACGGCTAACTTTCACAATACAGCTCATATTTAATATTTATGGATATTTTATTAACCACAACCGATATCAAAAATTTCTTTTGAGTGTTAAAAGTCCTAACAACATATTGTAATTACAATAAAATTTCTCCAGCACGTTACATATTATAGTTATATGACGAAGTTCGTGAAAATAGCCCTAAACATTTCTTAAAATAGTAACGTAGTCCCAGGTAGAAATTTTGTCTGGAACTAATCAGGGTTCCATATATTCTTTTGAAAATATTTCTGGAATCCAGGTGAAAAATCTACCTAAAACCTGTGTAAAATTTGGGACGTCTAAATCGTCGAGGCCCTATTGCATAATCGGCGCGTGGGCTCAAGATTACGCCCAGAATTTGTAGAAAAATTATTTGGAGTCTAACTAGGACCTATAATTTTTTTAAATATTTTCTTGATTTGTATTATAATTATTTCTATAAGCTAAATTATTCAATCCTGGTGGCCCTATATAGTTTTATATTTATTCTAATTTGGGAAAAATATGTCAGTGGCGATCTAAAATCCATGCAGATTTTTCCGCTCATTTTTTCCTTAGTAAAATAAAGGTAAATTTCTAGGGTGTATTCTGGACTTATAGACAGATATTTCAAACTGGATTTTTTTACTTAGGCCCTGTATTTAATCTTTGCAAATCGAGGCAGATTTCTACCTGAGTGGAGCGATTTAAAAATCGGATTGTATAAAAAAAAACTATAAGAAACTAGTTTCGTGTTCCGGTGTTCGAAGAAAAATAATTTTTAGTCGAACAGTGATAATCGTTTGTTCGCCACATACACGATATATAGGTCGAGTCGCGATGCGAGCAAACGAAAACGCAATTCTAATCTACAGATTAGATATACCTGATCGCCTTTGAGTCGATCCAACAGCGTGACGCACACAACAGCGGACTGGATGCCGGCGTGATGCGTCAGAGCGGCGAAACAGAGACTCTCCATCTCGATGTTCACCACTCCGGCCTTCTGCAGCTTGGTAAGATAGTCCATTTTTTCGTTCTCCGAAAACTCGCAGAACGCGCCGTCCAGTCGACCTTGGCCCTCGTAAAAATCATTGGAGCACATGGTCTTCCCGACCACGGTGTCGTAGGGATCGTCACGATGGGCCAGGGCCTTAAGATCGCGAGCCAGCTGCCGGTCCAGCTTGGCCGGTCTGCGCACCAGCTTCCCAAGAACCATCTGCAACGAAATTCGCGCTTATAATCCTCATTTTCAATCTTCTTTTATATTATATTTCATTTTTATTATATTTCATTTTTATTATATTTTATATTATATCTCCAGCAGCACACATTCCCGAAGAATGTCTTGAGGATATGAATATCTGTTCGAATGTCCTCTGGATATCCTCTGGATATCCTCTGAATGTCTTTCGGATATGTATGCTGTTAGGGATTTTTATATTATATTTTATATTGTATTTTTATATTATATTTTATATTAGATTTCGAAAGATATTTGTGATAATTAAATTATTCGCTCTTTTTAATTTTTTATAATATATGGTACATGAAACATTTGAATGAAGAAGACTGACCAATTCCATGTCAGACTTTATCGTCTCGTCCACAGCCTCTTCTGAGATAACCACCGTACCACCTTCGTGGCCAATTCCACCGCAAGTTCCAATCCTGATGAAGACTGGGTCCTTCACTTTCGCATGATACATCAGCTTGATCACTTCGTGGAGCAGGATGCTGACCGAAGGTACGCCCATACCATGCTAAATATATATATTTTTTTTCAAATAATGACGTTTGTTTTTGGGGGGATTTTATCGAATTTAATATTAATTATATATAAATCTCAATACTCTTTAATTTAAATCTGTTACGCTTAGAAAATTCTATTATTCCACAATCACCCTTTTTACAGTTCCATTTCAATGGAAATATGGAATATTTTTATTTAAATAAACTAGTTATTTATACTTGCACAAATTTTAAATTCCTCGAATAAATAAAATATATATTTGTTTTGTGGTAAAAATCTGCGATGTCGAGAAAATATTCATTCGTAAAAGGCGTCTGTCATGAATAATTGTTTTTATCATTTAAACAATAATGAAATTGCGTTTCAAATTTTGTTCGATATACTGTGTGCGTAATTCGCACAAAACAAGATAATGAAAAATGATTTAACCGTTTAGTTTAGACACGTAAAAAAATGAATAACATTTTTTTAATGATTTTTTTAATAATATTATCCATGATCAGAATATGTTTCGCGAAAATGGCAGTGACTTTCATATGAGACTGTCATTGAAACTTCCACACACAGTTGTTTTCTATAAATATATCATTCATTTGAAATCAATTTTTAATTAAATCTTTAAAAATCAAGTCCTCATAAAATATAAATGTCAATTTACTATTTTCTAATTTTCGAAAGTTCTCTATTAAAATATTAATTTAGAATTTTTAAAATAATTGTTTGATGTTTATTTAAATATACTTATATTGGTTTTTATATGTTATATACTATCGTTATAATATATCATTGATATACTAGAAATCTGTGGAAATTATTTAATACGCCATGATTCAATATGTATATGATTTATACACAGAGCTGCCGTAAATTCAGAAAAATTCAATGCGTATCGATCAGTCGAATTATGCGAGATTGGTCTTGATTTGCATGAATTAAAGGACAACAACTTTCAAGCGTATATCACGAGCAACATTTATCTTATTAAACGCCGCGCTAAATAAATACGTGTTTGTATAAAATTAAATCTGGCCGGCGGTGTAAATGTTTTTACTATTTGAACAGGTTCCAATTACGATAAAACATTTTAAAAAAAGAAAAACTCAATCATTTCTCGTTTGTCCGTTCTACTTGACCTTCCTTGATAATTGATCGAAATAAAATAAAACTTTTGTCCCATAATGTCTTTTGTTTTAAAAGATAATGCCAAAAGAATGGACTTACGCTAATAGAGAGAACCGGGCCAACTTTGTACATAGAATAGCGGTAAGAGTTCTTAGTGATGTCGAGAAGAGTCGTTCCGGCTGGCAGCTTGTGACCAATTTCCTTCATGATATAGTTTGCAAAGTTTTCCATCCGTTTCGGCGTGCCGCCCATACAGACGAACTAAAACGTAGGAACATTATTACAAAAAATTTGAGAAAGGAAAGAAGGAAGAAAGAGGAAGCGGACGTGAATCGATTGTTAAAGCGACGCGCGCTCGGAATCTGTCACTTCGGAGAGACGTCACACCTAATTCTTAAATGTCAAAGATCGGTCGGTTAAGATGATAAAAATAAACGAGCAATGCTCGATGGTGTAATTGCACGTCATTGAAATATATTTTGCGATTTATCGACATTGGCCGACATCACGAGCGTATCGCGTGACATCGTCAGCCTCGCGCGCAATTGCGATATATCGCGACTAGTATATGTATACGTATATATACATATATTTGCTTTTCTGCGATCCGAATCGCGAGTGTCAGCTGCAGAGAGCGAAGACGCATTGACCGAATCGATTATTGACAAATGTAATAAATATCGGTCAAGAAATGTTAACTATACCTTTATCAAAGGAGGTCAAAAAGCCCGATATTTATGATGTAACATCTTACGTCATATTGTTTTATGCGAGAAGATAGATCCCGAACGTGTTGCTTTAACAATTAGTTTATATATTTTTCTCTTTTTTTCTGTTAACATTTTTTTCGCAATAATGTTTGTGTATGAGTTGAACGCGACTGTATATTAAAAATAAGACTGATTACTTAATTTAATAGCTAAACAGGTGCTGGAAAAATAGAATACAAAGAATTTATAAAAATAAAATTAGAATTTTTATGTAAATTTTTAAATTAAATAGATACTAATAAACACATTCGAATGAAATTATATATTATATAATTTATATGTATATCATTTCCGTGATATGCGATACATATACTTCACGATATATTATTTTAATTTCAATTTTTAATTAAATTTAAAACACGCGAGAGCAATCTGTTTCTGCGGTTATACTTTATATGAATACGACAGAATCTCTCACGTTGACATAATTATCGGGTGATTTTACACACAATTACATTTCGTTGAAAAATTTCATGTAATATTTATCAATATGCATTGTGTAATCAATATAATGTATAAACACGCAAGAACGATGTAATTAAAATGCAGCTTGTTAAAGAAAAAAGACAATTAAATAATAACGACGTAATCATGCTTCTCTCTGATAATTTCATTTGACTCATTTTTATAATATCTGACGATGCATTAATATGAAATATATTAAATTATATAATATTTAATCTCGTATTTAATTCAAAAGAATCAGGCATTCGGTAAGGGCGATAATAATAAGACGATAATAATAGGACGTAATACTAATAATAATAATAATTGTTTAAATATTTGCCAATAGTTATACATATATTGTTGTTAAATTTCACACATGCTATTTTTAAATATATTGATTGGAAATGAAATAAATCGGCTTCGCAAATGGAATTTCAAGAATGTAGAAATAAGAAAAAAATCAATTACTCAATTTCAAACGACTTTTATTTTAATAGAGTTTTAATTCCAGACTTAGTTACCAAGATATTGAATATTGAATATTAAAAAGTTTGGAAGCAGAGTTAATTAATTTTTTGTTAACTAAAAAAGTTGAGAGATGTAAAATCGAAGGGTATATATACATTTGTAAAGTTTCAAGTCTCGCAATCAAGAGACCTTTTACATTTTGTCACGAACATCTCGCTTTATTTTCTCGTTGCAAATAAACAACAGGGAATTATTTATCCGACTTACTTTGACGTCGCCGAACATTTCGACGAGGTCGTGGGAACCGCTGCCGAGCGCGAGATGATACAATATATCCTGGTCCATGAGCTCGATGTTGGGATTTCGTAACCGTACGGAGCCATCGCTGTACCTGTGCGAGAAATGAAAAATATATGTATTTTATTTACATTCGCGCAGAACGTTTCAAAAACTACGTTCCGTCAAAGAGCTCTCTCTCTCTCTCCTTCACACAATTATTACATTTAATGCAATAAAGAAATAACTTCACGTGAGATATGTAACGCAAACATGTGACGGCATCTTGATATCAAAGCTATATCAAAATGCTTTATTTACATTTCTGGCATGTGCGTCACACATCGCGTTTACGAAACGTTATAACTCTGGACTTAAATCAATGAGTACTCGATAATTGTTTGTTACATCGTAAAATAATACTCTGTAAATTACTGAAGGAATTTCGAATGTTTAATAGTATCTATTTAAGCAAAAAGAAAGTTTACATTAGTTTCGCGTAAAGTATTTTAATTAAATTTAATTTCAAACTGATTTAAATTACAATTTTTTGCTCAATTTTCGCAAGCATGTGTCTATAAAATCACGAATCTGTACAATTTTTGGATCGTCGCGCGCAACAAAGCGAACGAACGAGCAAGGTCCGATTAAATTCCAGAGATAGCCTTTAACGTGACGTCACAAACGTAATTTTCCGGCAAACGAAGGGCATATTGCTAATTACATCAGCGTCGAAAATTGATCTCGTTAATGCGCTCGTAAGCCTTAATCAGTTTCGGCCACCGACAGAGTCGCGCATCGTAATTAACAATAAGTCACATATCTCCGTTCATTGGCCGAATAATTATACTTCATTTCTGACGTCTCTTGATAAGCGATATAAAATGTGCGACGTGATTATCGGAAAAATTCTTTCCCGGATTATCAGATCGTTGCACTTGTGACATTTGTGGAAAACGTTTTAATATTATTATTTATTATTATCTTCTCAAGTAATTTTTCTCACCAAATATAAGGTGTATTCCGAAGCTATTACGACATATGAATTTCAATTTCGAGATGAATTTAGTATCAATTTTTCTGAAATTTTATGCATATTTTTATTTGTGCATATATATTATATATATATATATATATATATATATATTTTTTTTTTTTTTAAGCTATAATATTTTTTTTAACGCTTGACAAATAAAATAAAAAAAAATATATATATTAATGTACCAATTTATCTAAAAATGTAGAAATAAAAATTTGAAATGTCAGAAGACGTAAGAAATGAAAATGGGTCAAAATCGATCCGAATGGAACAACAGAATCATAGATGTTTGTTCATCTTAAGGTTCGTCCGACTGTTTGCCTTTCCAGACTTTTACCGAGAATTTTTTATAGAAGGAAGAAGAAAGTATCCGATAGTTTACCTGTTCCCTTTCATTGTTCCTGGACTTGTGATATCGTTCAGCAACACAAATGTATACATTTCTTTAGTCCCAATAGACCGTTGTCGAGATTAGTTTCTATTTACAGTCGCAAAATCGCGCGCTATTCATCCATTTAATCATCACGACGTTCGCGTCAAGAATTAAGGTACTCTCATTATATTTTGGTATCTACTTACTTCCGGCAAAACCGGAAAACTTTCGGAATAAGTAAATTATTCTCTAATTCGAATTCAATCATCAATGTTATTGCAAAATTAATATATGCGTTTGTATAAAATTAAAATACTTGGAATTCAATTATGAATTTTATTGGAGAATTAACACATGCGATTGCATAAGATAAAATATTTTTTTCGTGAGGATTTATTATTGTGACTTATTTTTCTCTAATTTTTCCCCAGAATTTTGCATAACTCGTTAATGTATAATCACATTTAAATGCCTCACCTTGTATGGAATGTTCGGAATTACTTTTTGCTCTTTTGAATATACAATTTGACGAAAGTAATTACCAAGTAAATTTATTTTTAAAGAAAATTCAAACATGTTTTCTATCACATTTTTTAATTTTTCCTTTCAACACGATAATTAACAATTTTCTAATCAAACTATACTTTATATTGATAAAGTTTAGCTCTGAAATTAATTGGAGAATAAATTTCAGATAGAGTTATTTAACAGCAAATAGAAAGCTTTTAGTAAATTAAATTTTAATATTGTAGAGATAATTATATAATTTTTTTCTCTTAATTAAAAATAAAATAAAATTTAATTGAAATTTAATTTAATTAATTTATGCGTACGAAATAATAGAAAATGTGAATTATTCTATACATTTAATATTGAAAAGTGAAGCATTGCAATTAATTATAATGATGGTCTTTCAGTGTATCTTCGAGTGCAGATGCGTATTAATCCGTCTCCCGATAAAGGAGTTTCTTCGAAACGTTTCCTCTTATTGAATAAAAATCAAGAAGGAAAATCTAGTATAATCTGATCTTTAACAATCGCATTTTCCTATTGAGCACAGTTGTAAATGGGTTTTCATACCTTGTCACATTATCAGATAAAGTAATTTCTTCGAAGAACCGTCTCCTTTATCCGTTATCGAATAAAAATCGAAGGGGGAAATTAATTGTAAGTGCATGTAATCTGACAACATACTCTTTTCATTTTTTTTTATTATGGTTGCGAATAAAAGTTTTGCACCCTACTGTTATCACTATTTTTGTAAATTTAATAAAAGAACTCTCGTTGCTTCCTGCCACCTGAAATACCTTCGAAGACTTTTACCAAGGTGTCTCCGCTTTTGTGTTATCTGCTTTTGTCAACCGTCGCTGGCTTTCTATTATTCTCTTTGCGGTTCTCCACGACGGAACTCGACGGAAACTATGTTCAGGAATAATGTGAGGAATGTGTGAAAACGCATGGTCTACGTTTCCATCGCGAGACACGACTATATATGCATCTTCGTTGCAGAATCGCGACGAGTTATTGTTCATTGTTTCGCGCAACTCACCATAACTTCCGATATTGTTCACTTTCGAAGATCGGAGAATTTCCTCGTTTATGCTCGAAACATAGAATTATAATACAAAAAAGGTGGTACTAAATTTTAATAGTATATATGTAGTAAAAACTCGTGAAAAAGAGCTCGTTCTGTAAAGTTACATCGTAATTTCTGTGATATGCTGAACAAGGTACGACGTGAATAATGCAGTTAAATTTTAATGAAGTTGAAATTAATGATTCAACGACATTTGAGAAATAAGAGAGCGTATTTTTCCGATAAGTCACGTGCTTGCTTGACATTATACGATATCCTCGAGCAACTCCGTGAATAAAATCGATTCTTGTGGTCATTCGGGACTGTTCGTGGAGAGACCCGATCCGACTGCCAGTTTTCAGGAACAAGGTATTTTGCTTAATCGAACTGTCGTACTTGTACCTGATCTTCGCATCGCAAGTGTGTTCTCGTCTGACGTCTCTTCACAGACGATTTAACCCTACTATAAAACTCAAACTAATCTTTAAGAGATCTTTCAGGCATCAATCCGTTTTTTTATATATTAATTATTGACAAGGAAGTTAAACTGATTGTAAAATATTAATACTCTCGCGATGACAGATTTTTACTTGTTAGTTTCTTTTTGAATTTGTCAGGATTGATAGTTATTGGAAAAATATTTTGTTGACGATGTGGCAGGATCAATCTTTTCGATAGCGAAAAGAAGCTTAATAGAATTCTTCTCATTTTAAAGATTAGCTAATGAAGGTATCTCTGAAAAAAAATAAATTTTTTTTAAATGTATAAAATATTTTAAATAATTGCCTTTTGTTTGATAGTGCGAAAGAGTTAATCAATTTAGAAAAAAATAATTTACATAACTAATTTTATAATATTTTTAAGTAAGATTTTGAATTTTAAGCTTCGTTCGAAATTAGCTGACGAATAAATTTATTTTTAATAAAATGAAAGGACTTTGATACAGAGCGTTCTGAAATTAAATATCAAAATTTGGGAGCATGTAGAGGATCGACAAATTAAAGAAGAAAAATTATTTAAAAATTTGTTTTGTTTCTGCTTTGTTTTGAAAAAAATCGCAAGAAAAGCAAACTAAAAGATTTTCATTAAAAACTTACTTAAGTTTAAGAGTTTTAACAAGGCTCTGTAATATAAATATAAATTTAACGTATAAGACGGGCAACAAGAGCCAAATCGCGGATGACAATGCGTTATCCTAACGAAACTAAATAATTTTTCGTTAGAAATAAATACCGGTGCACAAGGCACCAAATTTTTACTTGGACACGGCCAAGATTTTAAATATGAAATAATCTCATATTTTGAGATTTAATTTCAATACCCCTTTAACCCCCCTACGGAAAATAAATAAATGAATGCAAGAGAAAAATATAGATCCGAAAATCGCTGAATCAGGAATCGAACCCGAGACCTTTCGCTTGCCGGGCGACTGCTCTTCCAGCTGAGCTATTCAGATTCTTTCGATTATATACTTTTCTCTGTTATATATATTAATGTTGGTAAACAAACGCATTTTTAAGCCAGCGTGTATCAAATATAAGAGTTTTAACAAGGCTCTGTAATATAAATATAAATTTAACGTATAAGACGGGCAACAAGAGCCAAATCGCGGATGACAATGCGTTATCCTAACGAAACTAAATAATTTTTCGTTAGAAATAAATACCGGTGCACAAGGCACCAAATTTTTACTTGGACACGGCCAAGATTTTAAATATGAAATAATCTCATATAATCGGGAAATTCCCGATTCAGCGATTTTCGGATCTATATTTTTCTCTTGCATTCATTTATTTATTTTCCGTAGGGGGGTTAAAGGGGTATTGAAATTAAATCTCAAAATATGAGATTATTTCATATTTAAAATCTTGGCCGTGTCCAAGTAAAAATTTGGTGCCTTGTGCACCGGTATTTATTTCTAACGAAAAATTATTTAGTTTCGTTAGGATAACGCATTGTCATCCGCGATTTGGCTCTTGTTGCCCGTCTTATACGTTAAATTTATATTTACTTAAGTTTGTTTATGTTTACATTCCTACGTTTTTTGTACAATTCATCAATCGGATACTCATCATCAGTGAAAATCTTTCTGTTTGTTCTTTTTTTGCGATTTTCTCCAAAACAAAGCAAAACGAGCAAATCTCTAAATGACTTTCTTAAGTTTGATCCGAAGTTTTAATATTTATTTTTGGGACATCCTGTTTAAAAATTTAAATTGAAAGTGGATGAATTAATAATAACCAAGCATAAAAATTAGATTAGATTGGCTAATGCGTCTTGTTCTTCATTTCGTCTTTGATCATTTTGAGGATCAAAACGCATGAATTTTTTTATCAATCGATCTGTTGGAGATGATTCAAAAGACTATAACCATAAAATAAAATAAAAAAAAGAAGACAAGTTTATTACGCCTAATGTTTGCGCCTGGCTATTAAATTAATTCATTTTCTACTTGAACTTGTAAATTTTTTACTTCTGCATAACTCGTTTCAATCTACGTAGAAATCGAATCGGAATATTATTTCCTCTATCCTTCATCTATCTTGTCTTAAATCGGTTCAGTTATTTAAACCAAGTCGGATCGAGCCAAGAATGACACTTTCCATTTCTCTCTATGAAAAAAAGCGCTTCTACCTAACCGGATCGGTGTATTCCCCGGTCTCTTTGGTCTTGTCTTTCTCCACCGGTAGCTTCAGGGAGCAAACGTGTTCCCCCGACTCGTCCAGAGTCCTATTTTGGCAGGTACACGTCGGCATAATTCGATCCTTCGCCGTGAAACTAAGAGAGGCACCGATTTTTCACACGAAAAATTCACCACTCCGATGCAGATCGAGCGAGATTCGCTGTTCCTTATCACAGGATATCCGGGTGGAAGGTCTCTCTTGCGTACAACCAGTCTTCGAGGAACGTCTCGCGTTTCCGAATTGCGTCGAATATGAGATACGAGATACGATTTTTCTTTCGAGTTATCGAAACAGGACCGACGACGATGTTAGAATAATTGGTGGCGGTCGCAACGAGACTCTTTATACATCGCATCGTTCCCACCACACCGTCACCAATTGCGGCTGCCAATCGTTCAACATGTCTCTCTCCGAGCACAACCGGTCGAGGCGACTAGTTGCGGCTACCGATGCAAGTTTTGCTGCTGTCGGATACAGATCGTGCGAGCAGCAGCGAACGCGTATACGGGGATGCTGATGCACGCGTCTTTCAAAGCAATTGCATCAACCCCTTCGCAGTGTGGCGAAAATGAGGGTTTTGTGCCACCAGTGTGTGAGAAAATAGTTTCTTAGATTTTCGTCGTCATTTTCGTGTCAAGGTCTTCTTAAGGTTGCTAAATTTCGGAATTTCAAAATTTAAAATATTGATACATGTTTGATAATATTTTGGATGAAGTTAAATAAGTTATTGAGTTTAAATAAGTTATTATTTTGAAGTGATTTTTTTAGCTAAGTTTTATCTGCCATTTAGAATAACAAAATTCAGATATATAGTTTGATTTAGCGACTTTAATATTTTTTTATATATACTCATTTTTGTACTAATCCAACCATTTTTAAATTTGATCCGCTATTTTGAAGTTTCTTAAACTTCCGTAATAATTTTCGTATCAAGGTTCTTAAGTTCGCTGAATGTGATATTAAAATTTCAAAATAGCGGATCTAAAAAATATTGATACATATTTGATAAAGTTTAAATAAATTATTATTTTGAAGTGATTTTTTAGCAAAGTTTCATCTGACATTTAGAATAAGAAAATTCAGATATATTTTGATTTAGTGATTTCAATCATTTTTAATATACTCATTTTTGTAATAATCCAACCATTTTCAAATTTGGTCCGCTATTTTGAAATTCTGATATTATATTCGGATTCGGCAACCTCAAAAATCATATCATGTCAAGTTTCATACAAATTGTAAAAGGATAAATTGGTTTTTTTAAATGTGCATATATATATATACATATGTATATTTCTACATATATATATAGACATATGTATATTTCTATTTATTCTTTACTCCTATGATATTATTAGAAACTTTATTATATATATATATATATATATATATATATATATATATATACAACGCACACACTGATGGTACATCTTTTTCTGTGCTACATTGTGAAAGGGTTAATATACAGTTTGTTCGTTAACGTAAGGACGAAACGAAATTTTCGAATCTCATCCAGATCAATTCTCCTGCTTTTGTTAGGTGAGCAAAGACTGAAAGTTTGATGGCATGGAATATTTGTATGTATATGTGTGTATAATGAAGACATATGTATATTTCTATTTATTCTTTACTCCTATGATATTATTAGAAACTTTATTATATTATTTTGTCGTTAATTTTATATATTATTTTCCTTCGTAATTATTTTATCGTTTCAAATGATAAACCGCCCAGGCAATGAATTATTTCATGATCTACATTTTAGAAAGCTTTCATAAATTAATTTCTTCCTGCTAATAGGAGACTTTAAATATTCCTGCAGATTAGAGCCGGCAAATATTATATTACGATGTTTGACTTGTCAAAACAAATTCCGTTCGCGTAACATACTATTCTCGCTCCAAAATTCCTCGAAGTATTTTCAACTATCAGAATCATTTCGCGTTACATAATTTCTGGCACAATTTTTGTTACATAAAACTCTTTCACAAAAATTAGCGAAACACAAACTGTTTAATACAATATTTCCACACGTTTAGACGCGCGCGCGCACCCTTAATTAGAAAAATTGGAAGCGAATTGAAATCACTAGAGAGAAACTATCCATCGTATTAGGATCGATCGACAGTCAGGGAATGAGATACGCGTTTATCGAGTTTTTTTTCATGATTGCGAACTGGAAGCTGGAGAGGTAAACCGCTTGGAATGGAATTCACCGTCTCTCCACTAAGCCGAGAAATTGGAGTTATATTCTCGCACGGTTATGAGGGTCGTCGGGGATATTACGCAACTTCTTCGTCCCTTCTGCTCCCGTGAGAATCGTCTTTCGAGATTTTTTCATTTTTTATTTGTACGACCACTTCGTTTCTCTGTGAATTGCGCGTGGGTGCGCTTTTCCGCAAGGGGAATCTCGCGACGAATTGAAGGGCGCTAAGATCTAACCACAGGATTTCCCCGAGCAATTCGCTCGTAAATTGCCTCGAGGCTTCCCGTGAGATATATCGATAAATAAGCGCCGTGTAATATTTTATATTTTCTTAATAATCCGTTACCACTTTAATTTCCGCCGCGCGATTAATTACGCGTGAGATTTTATATTGTCGTAATAGAGCACGGATTTTTTCCCGGATGGAACATATCACGTTTATCGGGATTAAATTAAATCAATTTAACCTCAAGTATTCGGGATTTTAATTATGTTAAAAAAGTTATAGAAATATATTGATTAATTATTGGAACGTGATGTGTGTTATAAAATGTAATGAGAAAATTATGTATCTTGTTAAAATTTTCACGAGTTTTGTAGAGGCGTCGAAATATTTGAAGAACGAGAAATTTGTAATATTATATATCTTTAATAAGATTTTTTAAATTTCCATTTTTTTCTGATTCGAATTCGAATAAAAATCGCAATGAATGACATATAAATCTCTTCCCGTCGTTAAATTACACTCCCTAACACCATCCTGAGGATTACTTTAATTTCCGGTTTTATATCTATCTTAAACCACTTTTCCAATATTCTTGACATTAATGATAACAAAATTGACGATAATCTCACATCGCGACGACGTTTAGCCGCTATTTCGTTCATTATGAAATGCACTGTATATTCGCTATATAAGAAACACACAGACACACCCACCCACACACACACACACACACATATGTATATTGTTGAATAGTGATAAGTATAAACTTATTTAAAAATTCACGAACCACGCTATTAACGAAAATGTAGGTTTCGCGAGACGGATTCGAGCAGCAAACGAGTCTCTGAATGTTCTCTCGGTGCTGCATCGTTGCTACTTTTAGACTGGCGATGCCAAGCAAATGCTCTGCTTGCTTCCCGAAATGCGTTTTGCATTAAACTGACTCATCTTTTGGCAAGCGAAAAATAAACGTGGGTTTAAAGATACTGGTATCGATATGAATCAATAATTATTAAGCAATAAATATTAAGTCTTAGCATATCTTGATTTAGTTGTAATAAATAATAATATTTTCGTTAAAAATAACCTCGGCTTAAATTTATTAAATATTTCATGCCATTAAAATTAAAAATTTTATAAAATAACTCGTATAATAAAATTACATCCACTTTATTGAAATTTAAAGGTTAATTATATTCATCATTAAATTGTGAGCAGTAACAAAATTTGAAAGAATAATAAAATTTCTTCGAAAGCAATATATTTGATTGAGAAGTTTACCTTGTCGAAAGATCTGTCATGCAATATCATCGAATGCACTATTATTGAACATTTGATAGAATAGTTTGCTTTGAACAGATACCAATCTCACGTTTATCGATTATCTGATGGAATTTTTTTACGTTTTTTTTTTTTATAATGAATCAATTACAGATTCGAATCAAGCAATTGTAAATGGACAACAAATTGGTACGCAGTATAAACCAATCCACACAATCTAAAAAAAAATACTATATTTAATTTAGCGGTATTAAAACATAAAATAATGATAATCTCAAGATATATCATAAGTGTTTATAATAATCACACGATGATTGCAGCTATAAAATTATAATAGAATGAAAAATACATATAATATATCGCGCTTTTATATTGACTAATCTTCCATTCGATAAAGAATTTTTCTCGGGTTTAAAGTATCAATCATGGAGTTTGACTTTTAAATTTTATAGTATAAAAACTCTCTGAGGTGTGTGGAAAAAAATACATTTTGAGAATTTTGCACTAATCAATACACTCGATGACTTTGAATTCAATCGCGAATGCACGAATTATTTTTTCTCTCGCGACGTAACAATTCCCTCCGTATTTTAGTTATATATTTCAAACTTATTTTTCTTCACATACAATAAAAGTACTATCCTCTGTATATACAAGAGCGAACATATTGTCATCTTTTTGCGCTCGCTCTTTCAATTTCTCTCGCTATCATACGCGTGACATATAATAGCGAGCACGCTTTCACGTCCGACGTCTATCGATTTTGGATCTATAATCGATAACGCATGAATTGAATAAACCATATCGTACCGCAGGCAATAGCACTCGTATGTAATATCGCGCGCATATCCGGGCACCGATATCTGATAGGACGCGTCGATATTTCATCGTATCAAACTTTGAAATTCGTCATCAGTGTGTGTGTGTGTGTGCTGTTATCTAAATAAAATTAGATGATCATCTAGATGAAACTTTGGCGTCATCTTATCTTATATAGATATATAGAACTTTATATAGATATATAGAATAAAAATATGTATATCTGCATTTTAGATGAAAAAAGTATTATCTTTACTATAAATTACTCCAAAATAATTTTCAGATAATTTTGATTTAGAATCATAGCACATAAAAATACTTAAATAGTAGAACTTAAGCAGTAAGCAGTAAAAATTTATAAATAAAAATATGAATACACACATAAATTTTTATATCCTTTTTACAATTTACATTTTTTTATAACTCTATAATTGCCATATATAATTTGATCTTTTATCTAGATACATTTAAAACAAAATCATCTTCATCTTATCTAAGATGAATTGACATATTTTTATCTCATCTTTATCTAGCTAATTCTAAAATCATTTAAGCACACTGCTCGCCATACAATTCGCGTGCAAATTCTGCGTTATTAAACCTGGATGCGCGAATCAGAAATGCAGCTCTGCGAATTCAGACCTAACGCAACTGACAACCGCGACCGCATAACTGAGATCATTTATGTATACGCCGCTCGAACGTAATATCTGAATCTGTTATAAATGTCAACTCGATGTAATCAAGGCGTTGTTAATTTCCAAATTCAGTTACCAGACGTTCACGCAATTTAAAAATATATTTATATGTCAAATGTATACACATTAATGTAATGAGATATATATATATATATATATATATATATTTGTATGTATATCCCGAATTGTTTCAGTAGTTATAATTGCGACGCAAAATATAATTCGCATATCCGTGAATTTTAAGTTTATTAAGGCAACGTTAAATAAAATATAGGTATATTTTGCCTCTCTGAAATATTACTTCAATTATAGAAATTATGAGTTTCGAATTATATTTATATTTAAATATATGAAATGGTTTCTAATAATGCAATCTCTATAAAAGTATTATATGATTATTCAAATATTTAATTTACTGTTGTAAGTAATAAATTATATAAATAATAATTCATATCAATTCAATCATTTGCATCAGAGGGGACCAAAATAAATTTAATTTCTAGATTAAAAAACCATGTTTCTTTACAAATTAATCCTGCATGGGATAAATACATGGAATCATAAAATCAAATTGCAGAATGCAATCAATTTCATAGGATACTTAATTTAGTTAATAAATTTAGATTTTAAAAATTTCAATTAATAAGCATATCGATTCTTTCATATGTTATTAAAACAGAGCTCTCACTCTCTTTCTCTTTCTCTGTAATATTTATTACAACTTATTAATATTAACTTATGTGACAAATATATTTTTTAAGTAAGTCTAAAACTGCATGTCACAAACACACATAGAAGGAGGAATGCATTGTTGGTGCAAGAATATCGATAATGATCACAATGATTAGGACTAAATTTGATACACAGAACATTCGAATATCCCAATTCAGACACTTCAGGCACCTAATGTGTCATCGTTATGCAGGGAACGTGTTATCGCATTGCTCCTGACCTCTGACCTCGTTTTGATGTATACGGGCTTAAAGTAGAACCGAGCGCACGCGTTATAAGCCGCACATGTTACGTCGTTTCCTTAAGAGTTCAAGGATTCCTGAAAATTTCTTGCGATTCGTGTTAAATATTTATGTTCATTTTTCGTTTATCATCTTCAAATTCCTGATTTCTTTACACGTATATTTATAAATGTGTGTATCACATTTTGATAGCATGAAGAAATCAGGAATTTGAACATGATAAGCCTGGGGATAAGCTGTATTGCCTAATAATTTATTTATCCACGTTTATTCGTGATGAAAATATAATTTTTACCTAAGTATATGATTATATATAATTGATGATCCGATATATTATTGATACCGTTGAAAAGCTGTTGCAAATTATTGATCGAATTAACAACGTAATCAAAGTTCGATGTAAACCGGGCTTATTTTGCATAATCTAACGCGAGCAGAGAAATTAAGCATTAATGATATCGATTGTATTTAGATAAAAATTAGATTTTTTTGTGAAATATCATTATTTGTTTGACGTTTACTTGTGGCGAAAATATAATGATATTTCACAAGAAAATATAATTTTTACCTCAGTATATGATTATACATAATTGATGATCCGATGTATTATTGATACCGCTGAAAAGCTATTGCAATTATTGATCGAATTAACGACGCAATCAAAGTTCGATGTAAACCGGGCTTATTTTGCAGTACATAATCTAACGCGAGTAGAGAAATTAAACATTAATGATATCGATTGTTTGAACAACGTGAGGACGACATATGGCGCAGATGTTCGCACAATTTTACTGCTTGTTACTTGAATTCTGTAAAGTAGTATTAAATATAATATTTCTTTATTATATTATATATTAATATTATAATTGATATTACGATAATGCAGAAATACATTATCGTAATATCAATTATAATATTAATATATAATATAATAAAGTACACGTATACTTGCTCATATATATAGGTATCCTGGTTATATTATTATATATTAATTATATTATTATTATTAAAGAGAGATAAGGAAGCTAGAATATAATATAATATAAATATAATATAAATTAATATTTATATATTACATTTTTGGAAAAAAATATAATTATATTATTATCATTCTTTTTTTATTAAAGATTAAACATAATTTTGAAACTGCGACAGTTTTAATAATGAGGAAGAAATAATTGCTGAAAATTTCGACAGAATTCTGCACGCGTGCAAATTTTTTTTAATATTATATATACCATATATATTATGTATAGTACAAAATCTACACGCGTGCAAAATTCTGTTAAAATTTCTGCAATCGTTTGCTTCTAAAAATTCAAACTGTCATAATAATTTTATATTTAATTTTTAATAATCATAATATATACAATGTATATCACAAAGTTTGCATGCATCCTAATTCCCTGAAATTGGTTTTCCGGCTTACGCGAAAAATATAATTTATGTGTCCCGTGAAATCGTTCCCTCCAGAAATACAATCGATTTTCTGCCTATATAACTATGGTAACCGGAAGAATCGGAAGAAAGGTATGGTGAGCACGTGCGAGAGAATGATGCTTATATTAACACTAGCTTTTCGGACCGCGCTTCGCGGTCCTCATATAGTCTATATTAAATCCGTTTTAACACAAAAAATTAATTCTTTTTTTGTATTACCGCGAACTACTTCCACATTTGTTGTTCGACTTTCACGAAATTTATACCAAAATAAATGTTTAAATTTTTTTGTGGATGACTACTATGTTATCTATTTCTTTCTCCCAGATATTTTATTTTCTTTTTTTAAGACACGCTTTCTCTCTCTCTCACTCTAAAACACACGCGCTCCCTCTCTCTCTCTTTAAGACACATGCTCTCTCTCTCCTTATCTCTCTCCCTCCCTCTTTCTTTAAGACACACGCTCTCTCTCTCTCTCTCTCTCTCTCTCTCTCTCTCTCTCTGTGTGTGTATGTGTGTGGGGTTTTTTAAGTTTACGCTTTCACCTACGCATCCACCCACACAATCGCATATTTATGAACGGATTTTTTAATAAATTGGTACCAAAATGTTGCAAATTTTTGGCGACGATGTGGTTTTTTCAAGTGTTACACCT